GAGAGAAAGAGAGAGAGAGATACATATAAACATATAACAAGATGTTTCCCTGCTCGCTGCGCTTCGCCGAGACAATCTGGGTCGCATGGCGCCAGGGAGGCTCGCCGTGACCACTGGTGCCCTCTGTGCAACGGGCTTCTGGCTCACGGGCTTCGCTGGGCATGTGAGACCCATCGCTGCGCCTGGATTGCGTTCTCCGCGCGTGCGGGTTCTTGTTTGGGGCTTGTGGCGTCCAGGAGGTTCTCAATATGCTGGGGACTCCCAGCGCGGATCGTCGAGCTCAAGGGGCTCGCGGGGGTCGTAAGGTTCGTAGGGCTTACGGGGGTCGTAGGGCTCATAGAGCGAGTAGGGCTCATAAGCCTCATGGGGTTGGCGGGGCTCATTGGGCTCATAGGGCTCGCAGGGCCCATGGGGGCCGTAGGGCCCGTATGGTAAGGGTCGTAGGGTTTATGGGGCTCTCAAGGGTCGTAAGGCTTGAACTCTCATGCGGCTCGTAAACCTGATGCGGCTCTTAGGGCTCGTGGGCTTCTGGAGTGAACAGTGAGGCTCATAGGGCCCGTAAAGGTGTGGGGCCCAGTGGGCACATGGAGGTCGCGGGGTCGGGAGGGTGTTGGGGCCTGTGGGGCGATTCAAAGGGTTGTGGGGCTCGTAGGGCTTATGAGGGTACCAGGGCCCGGGCTGAGGCTCGCAGGGGTAATGGAGTTCGCTGGACTTGTGGTGGTTGTGGGGGTCATGGGGTTCAGGCAGGGGCTCTGGGGGATAAAGCTCACAAAGGTCGTAGGGCTCTGGGGAGTCGGGGGACACATAGGGCTCGTGGGGCTCGCAAGCGTCACGGGGGTCATCGGGCTTATGCTGCTCAACAGGGGTCGTGGGCCTCGTAGGGCTCATGAGGGGTCGTGAGGGTCGCGTGGGTCATCGGACTCGTGGTGGTTCGTGGGCCTTGCAGGGCTGACAAGGTCAGTCAGAAGGTTCGTAGTTCTCATGCGACTCATGGGCTCGTAGAGCTCATTGGGCTCGTAGCGCCCGAATGGTTCGTCGGGCTTGAGGGCTGAAGGCGCATGAGGCTCCTAGGGGTCATCACCTCGTGGGGCTATAGCGTCTGCGAAGCTACAATCCGGGTGTACATGTTTGATACATATTTATATTTACAGGTACTACACGGTTTTTGCAAGGGGAAAACAACATTACCCCAGCGCGACCCTACCGAGAAGTTTGAGCCCCTAGGAACGCAGCATTAGTTGCTATGCTATGCTATGCTATGCTATGCTATGCCATGCTGCGCTATGCTATGCTATGATATGCTATGCTACGCTATGCTGCGCTATGCTATGCTATGCTAAACTATGCTATGCCATGCTGCGCTGTGCTATGCTAAGCCATGATATGCTATGCTAAGCTGCGCTATGCTATGCTATGCTCTGCTATGCTATGTCATGCTATGCCATGCTATGTCATGCTGCGCTGTGCTATGCTGTGCTGTGATGCTATGCTATTCTGCGCTATGCTATGCTATGATATGCTGTGCTGCGCTATGCTGTGCTACGCTACGCTGTGCTGTGCTCTGCTAAAGCTCGGCGGAGCTAAGATGAAGGTAAGCTAAGCTAAGATAAACCTGAGCTAAGATGAAGCTAAGCTGATCTAAGATGAAATAAGCTAAGCTAAGATGAGATAAGCAACGCTAAACTAAGGGGACGCAACTGGGGGAACCGCGGGGCGGATGCCGGGGGAACCGCCCGGGGCGTGTTACACTGCCCGGCCCTTCAAGCACAGACAGTAAGAACCCTTCTAGGCAGCGCCTGGGTAGGGAATAAAACGACCAAGCGGGTCTCACGCGCGCGCAAGCCGACATCATTCGAACGCCCTTGCGCGCGTGCTTGGGGGGGGGGCGATCCCAGCTTCAGAATACCATGCGGGCCACTCGCGCGCGCCGTCCTCGCGCGCATGTCGAAATCTTTCCAACAACTTCATCACCGACGCGAGGACACCACATCGTCATCGGCGTCATCAACATCGGCGCCGTCATTGGCCTTGCCGTCATGATCGCCGTCATCGTTACCATCATCGCTCTGATCATCACCGTTTCTACCGTAGTCGACGTCGCCATGAGACCGCGCCCGCCCAAGTCACCGACTCGCACTCTAGTGCCCGCGCGTCAGCGCGGCCTGTGAGACGCGCTGGGATGTCCCCAGTGGTCAGCGCCACCGCGGCCGCGTCGGTCGCGCCAGACTCGCTGTCCGCCCTGCGCGCGAGTCTGCGCGCGCCAGCGAGGCCGCAGAGACGCGCCAACCAACGCCAAGCAATCGTCGCAATCGCCGCCAAATGGGTTTTGCAAACCAAGCTGAGTGTGTGACTGGGATTGCTTGCATCACATAGTTTGCACAACACATATTGCACAACATAGATGGTGCCACATCGAATGCACCACGTAGATTGCAGCACGCAGATTGCTCAACACGGATTGCACAACACGGATTGCTAGAAACATTATCCCAGTGCGACCCTACCTAGGAGTTGGAGCCTCTAGGAAAGCAACATTATATATGCTGTGCTGCGCTATACTATGCTATGATATGCTCTGCTCTGCTCTGCTCTGCTCTGCTATGCTGCGCAATGTTATGCTGGGCTAGGCTAGGCTATGCTATGCTATGCTGCGCTGTGCTATGCTAAGCTAAGCTATGCTATGCTATGCTGCGTTATGATATGCAATGTTATGCTATGCTGCGCTATGCTATGCTATGCTATGCTGCGCTATGCTATGCCGCGCTATGCTATGCTATGCTATGCCATGATATGATATGGTATGCTATGATATGCTAATGCTGCGCTGCGCTTAGCTAAGCTGAGTCAAGCTAAGCTAAGCTAGGATAGGCTACGCTAAGCTGAGCTAAGCTAAGCCAGGCTACGCACAACTAAGTTAAGCTAATTAGGCTAAGCTAAGATGAGATAAGCAACGCTAAGCTAAGGGGGATCCTGGGGGAACCGCGGGGCGGATGCCGGGGGAACCGCCAGGGGCGGGCAACACTGCCCGGCCCTTTAAGCTTACCGAGCAAGAACCCTTCTGGGCAGAGCCTAGGTAGGGAATAATGTTTGGGGCCTGCGCTGGCTAACATTGGATCATAGCTCGGGCCTCCAGGCGGCCGCTCGGGACGATCCGAATACCCCAGAAAAGGTCTCAGCGAGGCGCAGGAGGAGGTGGATGAGGAGGGTGAGGAGGAGGAGGAGGAGGAGGAGGAGGAGGAGGAGGAGGAGGAGGAGGGGGGAGGAGGAGGAGAGAGGAGGAGGAGGAGGAGGAGGAGGATGAGGAGGACAAGGAGGACGAGAAGGAGGAGGACGAGCTTTTGCTCGATGCGCGAACCCCGCTTCGCTAAGATTGGGAGAGGAGGAGAGGAGGAGGAGGAGGAGGAGGAGGAGGAGGAGGAGGAGGAGGAGGAGGAGGAAGCGGAGGAGGAGGAGGAGGAGGAGGAGGAGGAGGAGGAGGAGGAGGAGGAGGAGGAGGAGGAGGAGGAGGAGGAAGGTCTAGGGTTTAGGGTCTGCCAGAACCGACGAAATCTCCCTCCTCCACCGCCCCCTTCGACGTCGACGCTCACCTTCGCTGATCCGGGGGGCAGCGTGAGGGGGCGATCGGATCGAAGGGTGAAACAGCGACCTGGAACCAGCGTTCGGTCGGGCGTGTCCCCGTGGAGGCGGATTTTAGACGATGAATCAAACATAGTCAAAACAAACTCCCACATTGTCAAAAAATAATATGGAAGAATCGTCTCCAGACTATTTTTTGATGATTGCGAGTCTTCCTCGTGTAGAGGGACACGCCCGACCAGAAATAGTCAACAAATACTCCAAAATGGTAAACACACAATAGACAAATCGTCCCCAGACAATTGTTTAAACATATTTTCGAATATCCCTCCTGTAGAGGGACACGCCCGACCTTAAAACCAGCGATGCGTCGCCGACAGTTGGCGGTGCGCACAAAGGGGGTAGAGGGAGGGGGGAGGGCTTCTTAGAAGGAGGCTGCTTCTGAGAAGGCGCCGGCCTCACATCCACAGAGGAGGCCCGCGCCTTAGAATAGAAGAAAAAACAAATAAACATAAAATTTTGGCGCTCCGCGCGGACTTCTTGGATTCGCGCTGGACCCCCCTCCCTGGCGCGCGGAGCGCGCCAGGGGCGGCGACGGAGGCGCCGCCGGGGGGCCCAGGCGCGGATCCAAGAAATCCGCGCGGAGCGCCAAAAGTTTATGTTTATATGGTTTTTCATCTTCGAAAGAAGCAGGGGTGCTTCTAAGAAGCCCTCCCCTCTCCCCCCACCCCCCTCTGCGCGTGGCCGAGATAGCTCGGCTACAGGCCCGCCCGCGGATATCCGCGCCTTCCCGGGCGGGGCGGGCTCCTCCAAGGGTGCTGCCCCCCCTCGGCCCATCCTCCTCCTCCTCCTCCTCCTTCTCCTCGTCCTCCTCCTCCTCCCTCCTCCTCCTCTCCTCCTCCTCCTCTCCTCCTCCTCCTCCTCCTCCTCTCCTCCTCCTCCTCCTCCTCCTTCTCCCCCCCACCTCTTTTTCCCCTGGTCGTCTCGATGCTGCTGCTCCTCCTCCTCCTCCTCCTCCTCCTCCTCCTCCTCCTCCTCCTCCTCATTCTTCTCCGCCTCCTCCTCCCCCACATTCGCCTCTGGCTCCGCCTCCGCCTCCTCCGCCTCCTCCTCCTCCTCCTCCTCCTCCTCCTCCTCGGTCGATGCGCTGCCCCCGCCTCGGCCCATCCCCGCCCCTGCTGGTCTTCGAACCATATCTCGGGCCTCTGGCGGCTCTTCGGGACGCTCCGGGTGGCCCTGGAGAACGCCCTCGGCCAAGCGCAGCTGCCGAAGGCATCCCGAGGCTGCAAGGCTGCCGAGAACGGGCGAGCACGCCCGAGAACTTTGAGAACGGCGAATCCGGAACTTTCGCTCCAGACATCTCGATTTCCCCCCCCCCGACACTGCCCCCTGCAGATCTCGCTCCTCCCCTCTGAGGCCCTCACACTGCCGGGTCCCGTCCGAGCAATGCATGGCCTCGCGCACTCGATGGGGAGGCCCTCGCGCTCATCCGGAGCGCTCGAGCCAGGAGCTGCGGGACGGTGCCGCTGGGCGAGGCAGAGGAGGAGGAAGCGGAGGAGGAGGAGGAGGAGGAGGAGGAGGAGGAGGAGGAGGAAGCGGAGGAGGAGGAGGAGGAGGAGGAGGAGGAGGAGGAGGAGGAGGACGAGGAGGACGAGGAGGACGACGACGACGATGCCGTGCCGCGCTGCCGCGGCCGCGGCGGCAGGTCGAGGGGAGGCCCAGACATCCGGCGCTGTCCTCGGGTTCGAGGTTCGATGATCGACGTCGACCGTCGTCGTCGTCGCTCGTCGATCGACGTCGTCGTCGTCGTCGTCGTCGCTCGTCGCTCGTCGTCGTCGTCGTCTTTGTCGTCGTCTTTGTCGTCGTCTTTGTCGTCGCCTTTGTCGTCGACGTTGACGCTGGCGAGGGCGACGCCGCGGGAAGCCGCCGCCCGTCGGCAGGGTGTCGCTCTCGCGCTTTGGGGCCTTCAGAGGGCTCCTCGGCGCCACGACTGGAACCGCCCTGAAATTCTGTGCAGAACGCTCCCCAAAGGCCCAGACGTCCAGCGCTCTGATTGGCCCTGACGGCCGCTCCTCGTCGCCACGGCCTGATCCGCCTTTCAACTCTGTCCAGGGCTAGGGTGCTCCCCAGTGCAAGTAGTCTGAGGCCCAGGGGTCCGGCGCTCGGATTGGCCCTGACGTCCTCGCGTCGAGGAAAGGCAGTCTCGACGGAAGGCTCTTGCCAGCTTTCGGCCTCAGCGGGCCCTCGCGGGGCCCCGGGGCCGCCAACACAAACGACGAGGATGAGAAGCTAGTCCTCGGGAAGGGGTCGATGCCTCCAAGGATCCGCCCAGTGACAAAAATCACGACGTCGCAGAATGAACACTGCGCAAACTTAAACTTTCGAAGGTCCGCTCGGATTCCTTGGATCGGCGCTGGACCTCCTCGGCTGAGCACCCCCCCACTGCACGTTTCCAGGGGGGGTTCGTACCTGGCGCGCCGGCGGACCCCCCCCTTGTGGTAGTGGGGTGGGGGGCTCCTGTGCGAGTGGGGTGGGGGGGCTCCTGTGGGAGTGGGGGGCGGCTGCGTGGAAGTGGGTGGTGGGTCTATGGGGCGTGGGCGTGGGGTGGGAGGGAGGACTAGCGGAGGGGACGACGACGACGCAAATCGTGCGGTGTTCCGCGCCCGCCGGCCGGTCAGCCTGCGCCGCCGCGCCGCTGCCGCTGCCGCCGCCGCCGCTGCCACCGCCGCCGCCGCTGCCACCGCCGCCGCCGCCGCCGCCGCCGCCGCCGCCGCCGTCGTCGTCGTCGTCGTCGTCGTCGTCGTCGTCGTCGTCGTCGTCGTCGTCGTCGTCGTCGTCGTCGTCGTCGTCGTCTCGTCTTGTCGTCTTGTCGTCTTGTCGTCTTGTCGTCTCTTGTCGTCGTCGTCGTCGTCGTCGCGTCGTCTTCGTCGTCGTCGTCGTCGTCGTCGTGATCGCGGGGTGGAATCGGGAGGAGTCGGAAGAAGTCGGGAGGAGTCGGAAGGGAGGAATCCCGGGATTCCTCGCTTCCTACTCCTCGACCTCTGGAGGTCACTGGATGTCGTCGTCTCCGTCGTCGTCGTCGTCGTCGTCGTCGTCGTCGTCGTCGTCGTCGTTCTCGTCGTGCTCATAACCGTAGTCGTAATCGTTATCGTAATCGTATTCGTAATTGTAGTCGTCGTCGTCTTCGACGTCAGCGTCGCTGTCGCGGTGAGGAGTGCGATGCAGTGGGGAGGAATCGGGAAGAGTGCCGAGGAGGCCCGAGGAATGCGATGGGCTGGGGAGGAGTCTGTGTAAAACGGGAGGAGAGGCGCGGAGTGCGATGGAGTGGGGAGGAGCCTGGAGGAGCGGGGAGGAGTGCTGAGGAGGTCGATGGGGTGGGGAGGCGTCGGGAAGAGTGCCGAGGAGGGCCGAAGAGTGCGATGGAGTGGGAAGGAGCCAGGAGGAGTGGTGAGGAGTGCCGAGGAGTGCGATGGATTGGGCAGGAGTCGGAGGAGGGGGGGAGTCTCGGGGAGGCCTCCGGGGACCGCCAGAAACCTTCAACATGGACCTCCGAGGACGTCTGGAACTCCCGAGAACCTCTGGGGCTTCCGGGGGCCTCCGGAGATCTCTGTATGTCGTCGTCACTGGACGCTCGCACGCGCTCGCCCGGGCGCTTCCCGCGCTCTGGGGCTGCGCGTTGGGGCCATCCTGGGGGTTTTCGTACCGGTCCGCACTGGCGGTGCGTCCCGGAGGGTTTCGTACCGGGGCGCACCCGGGGGGGTTCGTGTCCCCCCGGGGGGTTCGAACAGGCCCGGCACCGGCGGTGCGGCCAGCACGAAACCCTCAGGACGAGCGATTGCAGAGGGGTTCGCTTTACTATTTCAAACCAGGGGCATCCAACCTACTTGGTCGTCAATACCCTTGCATCCGTCCGATGCTCAGACCGCGGAAGAGACGGTGTGCAACGCATGCGAACGGTGGCTATAAAAGCCACGGCGGTTTGAGCAAGGACAACATTGATCACTCCAGCAAGGAGCATGCAACCAGTGATATTGGCAAGTCGGCGCACAGTCCCACCATTGGAACGAAGAAGGAAACTGATTTGATGGAAGCTTGCAATAGTATTCGCTGGACGTGATAGCGAGTCTGTGACATGCGATGCTCCCGCCCCCGCCCCCGTTTCAAACTTGACTTGCCACCTTTCTCCCACTGGAGGTCAACGCACGTGGAGGTCAAGATCGAATGCATGTAAACGGGTGTCTTCTCAAGACCTGGGTTAGCTTACATGTGCAATAATCTTGCTTATGATTTCCTTGCTACTGTTTCCCCCTCTACCGTCTCTCATCTTCTTGCTCCTCCTCCCTCCCGCCATTCCTTTCTCCACCTCCTCCGCTTCACCCTGCGCCAAACCGCGCGCAACCCGATGTCCTGCAGGCGGCTGATGATATCCGGGTCCTCGATGGTGACGAGGTCCTGGAACCTCCCGTCCCCCAGAGCAAATGCCTCCTCCCCCACCTTCAAGGATCGAGGGTCGAGGTGTTGGACGCTTTTTGCATTTCTTTGGCCTCCTGGGCGTCCCCGTGGCCGCGGCTGGATCCGCCTCGAAGTCTGAACCAAAGCGCACCCTGGGATAAGCCTGGGGGTCGACCTTGAAGGTGCTATGGTCAGGAACTTTTGCTTAGCGTGTCGCGGCGGCGGCCCCAGCGACACGCTATGCCTTGCGAGTGGATAGCGTGTCGCTCCACTCCGCGGGACGGGAAGCTCGGCAAAGCTTGGGACGTTGATTCTGGTGGACCGGGACATGGATATCGTGTCGCGCCGGAGCGTGGTGGACCAGGCCTGGCGGAGCGACACGCTAAGCCAAAGTTCTTGACCGTAGCCCAGACCTTTTTTGGAACCAACAAGTGAGCGTTTTCTTATTCGGCGTTTCGACATCGGGCGGAAGGGGGGGAAGGAGGGGGCCTGGCTCTGGACCTCTGCTTCATGCGGCTGTTTGGAACCGTGCGTCCTCTGGGGGAGACTCCCCCTGCCTGAAGCAGACGCCCAAAACAGCAAAGATCTACTCCATGAAGGGGGGCCGGGGAGGGTGGGTGCGAGGGCCCGCTCCGATCGGCAAAGCAATGCATCAGAAACGATCACCAACACGATGCCTCGTTTTGGGCCGCTTCGGGTCCTGGGGTCGAGGAGAGGCCCAGGCCCCGCGTCACAAAACACGTTGTGTACGCCAGATGGTTGGGCCCCTGACCTCATCACTCTCCATTCCCCGTCAGCCCCGTCCTTGTTCCTCCTTGTTTTCCCTGTCCGCCTCCTCGTCCGTCCTCCTCCCCTTTCTCCGTGTTCTGTCCTGGACCAAGAGCCGACAGGAGGCAGCCAGCTTCGCCGCACGGGGCACGTGCTCTTTGCCATGTGCCGCCAGCCTGAGTGTCCAGCCGAACGGCCGTGCGAGTTGATCCACGATTGCTGTGGCATCCCGCAAAATTAGAGCAAGAGAGAACGGCATGACCGTAAACATCTGGAACTCCGCACGGAAATCTTGGATCGGCGCTGGCCCACCCTCCCTGGCGCGCGGAGCGCGCCAAGGGCGGCGCTCGAGGCACCGCCAATAGGGGGGGGGCCAGCGCCGATCCGAGAACTCCGCGCGGAGCTCCGAAATTCATGATTATGGCATTTCTCTGCTCCGCGCCACCAGTGTCACCCGCAAAATGTCCGACATCCGAGCCATGTGCCGCCAGCCTGAGCTTCCGACCAAGCGCCCGCTCGAGGCCGATCCACAGCTGCCATGGCATTCCGTCAATGTGGCCGCGCCGCCAGCGTCACCCGCGAAGCGGCTGACACATATGCCGCTGGGATCCAACATCCACATGGATATTGCATTTTCGTATTGTCATCATTATTATCATTGTTATTATTACTATTATTATTGTTATTATTATTATTACTATTCTTATTATCATCATTATTATTATTATCATTATTATTATTGTTATTATTTATTATTATTATCACTATTCGTATCATTATTATCATTACTCTTATTATTACAACTCTTATCATTATTATTACTCATCTTATTCTTATTCGCATCATTAAGTTTACCATTCTTATGGTTATTCGTATGTTTTTTTGATTATTCCCATTGATTACTATTTCCGGGTAGCGGTCGTCACCTTTGGGGGGGAGGGTGCTGTGGGCCCGGGATAACGCCTGGGCAAGGTGGGGCACGTCAGGGCGGGGGTGCGCTGCGATCGCCGCAGTGTGCGCGCGAGCAACAACACGTGTGGGGGGGTCCACTCCCTCCCCTGTCGTGCAATCGTTACCGTTACCCGGGGGGAAAGGGCTTGGCCTGGGTGGCGGCCCAGGGAAACAACTAAACTCGCACTGGCAGGGCGCGAGCAAGAGCATGTGTGGGGGGTCCATTCCCTCCCCTTCCGTGCAATCGTTACTATTACCCGGGGGGGGGGCAAGGGTTTGGCCTGGGTAACGGCCCGGGCAACAGCACGCGTGGGGGGGGCCAAGAAAGGCCCAATAGGG